TGTTAAAATTCAATATTATTTTTTGTTACGTTGTTTAATGATTAATTCATTAGTATTATTATTCATTATTACTGTTAATTTTGGTTTTATTTTGAATAGAACATCCTCTAAACAACTACATGGTTATCTTTATTTCCACTAACAAGGATGTGAAGCATAATTAATGGGTCAAACGACTTACCTGAAGGAAGTTCGATCCTAATTATGCGAGCATCCTTGTTAGTGGAAATAAAGTCCCACCTCCACCATATTTATATTATTTTTAACCCCAAACTCCTAGGCTCCACAACAGGTAATGAGTAATGTAGAAGGCAGCGATAGAGAGTGACGTAAAATTTTAAATCTAAACATGTGGGTCAGCGGCGTAACATAGGTATACTACATGGTTATCTTTATTTCCACTAACAAATAAGGATGCTCGCATAATTAGGATCAAACTTCCTTCAGGTAAGACGTTTGATCCATTAAGTTTAGACATAGGCCCGCATGTTTCTTGCTGTTATAACATGTATATTTATTTTAAATCAGTTTTGTTTAGTTAATTTATTCACCAAATACACTAATTTATTTTATAACTAATTTATTTGTACTTAATGTCAATTATATCTTAAACACTACTCATTTACTTATTTATATTGACAATTTTTCTTTACACAATATCTCGACTTCAACTGACAAATGTGGAGGTTCTGAGCATTCACCAGAACTTTCTACGAGGATTCCATACGTCGCGAATCACATACTTTGATTTTCTTTTACTATACGAAAAATTGTCGCACTGTGCAGCTTTCTGAGTGCCTTTTAAAAGGAGATAGAAAACTCCGCCATTTTGAACCCTTATTACGTGTTGCCTACATCTTGGCGCAATATTTTTAATAGGTGCGTTTTAATCATCCGCTTCTGCTTCGGAATTGTCGGTTTTCTTGTTTTAATCTGACAGGTTAGAACGACTGAACCGACAATTCCGGAAACAGAAGCGGATGATTAAAACGCACCTGATATTTTGCTTGCTGCTGTCAGTGTCAGTGAATATTATTTTTAGAGTCACAGTTTATTGCTAAAGAATCAGTTAGCTCACTCGGACCAGTTGAAAGTTCCAAAATAACATCCACTCCAGGGATACAAATTCAGGATACGCAGAAGACTGCTGTTTTATTATAGGCGGTTGTGATATATTGTATTTTATGCGTTGCGCAGTGTATAAACTGGAACATTGAGATAAAAAGTGCCGACGCAGAGTGAGCGATCTGATTCTTTAGCTATAAACTGTGCCATAGGGTTCAAAATGGCGGCGCTCTAAGTTGGGCGTGTCGGACCTCTCTCTTGCCCCGTATAGTAATCAAAGTATGTGTCGCGAATCCACCATTTACCACATACTTTGATTACTATACGGGGCAAGAGAGAGGTCCGACACGCCCAACATAGGGCGCGGCCATTTTGATTCCTATGACACAGTTTATAGCTAAAGAATTAGATCGCTCACTCTGCGTCGGCACTTCTGATCTCAATGTTCCAGTTTATACACTGCGCAACTCGGATAATACAATAATATATCGTCGTTGCCGCGGTGAAACCTTCTATGTGATATTTTACCACATTTTTAGATTTTTGTACCAGTTCATAGTAACTAACATTCTGTACACATTGCGTTCGGTCTGCCAAGTTCCTTTAACTCCTTTAACACTTTTAACTCCAAACGACCATTTTAGCGTTCGGTTTAGTCCGATTAGTGACAGTTTAACACGCTTAAATGTCATTTAAAAGCACCCTAAAATTTGTCCCGCTCCAGCCCCTGACTATCCGAACTCGCCTACAGTTTAACGAAACCTCCCATGTAATTTTCTTTTAAAATATTGAGATTTTAGACCTCCCTTGTGCGTAATACGTATAAGGCATCAGAACAAAATTGTTACGTTTTTATATCTACTGAAAATTTTGATGAAATGTACATGGAGGTTTCACCGCGGCAACGACGATATGACAACCGCCTATAATAAAATAGCAGTCTTCTGCGTATCCTGAAATATGCTGCGTTTGAGAATCCACATCGGATGCATTTTTTACATCTCGAGCGTTTTTTTATCCACATCGGACACGTCTGTCCCATTACATTTACGTATACTGCATCACGTGATCAAAGATTTTTTACATCTCAGATGCATCCGATGTGGATTCTCAAACGCAGCATTTGTATGCCTGGAGTGGATGTTATTTTGGAACTTTCAACTGGTCCGAGTGAGCTAACTGATTCTTTAGCAATAAACTGTGACTCCAAAAATATTATTCACTGACACTGACAGCAGCAAGCAAAATATCAGGTGCGTTTTAATCATCCGCTTCTGCTTGCGGAATTGTCGGTTTAGTCATTTTAACTTGTCAGATTAAAACAAGAAAACCGACAAATCCGAAGCAGAAGCGAATAATTAAAACGCACCTATTAAAAATTAGGCATTCCAACGACCTGTCAAACAATAGGTGCCAGTGGGAAATTCTTGTATATTTAAGGGGGTAGCGACATGTCTTGCAACTTGGACGCTATTTTTATTCGAAGTAGTACTCGCCAAGCCTGCCAATTTATGAAGAAATGTATAGGTGGGTTTTTTAAATATTAGTTTTATTGTGTTTGACATAAAATATTTAAATGTAATCCATTATTCATGATTTTACGTAAAGTAGATAGAATACACCATATGTCGCTACCCTTAGATATACCAAACCTGCCCACTGGTAATTCATTTGTTTGGAATGCCTAATATTAGGCATTCCAAACTGAATGGCTACCAGTGGGTTCTGACGGGTTATGATTTGGCAAAATTATGGCAACCCTGTAGGCCTGGTGATTTGACAAGGTCAATGAAATAGATAGTTACATAGATTGATCAATATTTTTCAAAATAAACATAAGCTTATGCCTTGAAGTAAAAATGTAAGCAATTATTTTTTTTTTAAATATCTAAAGGCTAAAAATTGGTTTTAAAACACATTTTTGCTAAACCGATTCAAATTAATAAATATTTGCCAGGCAATATGGCCGCTTGTAAACGACCAGCTTTGAGCAATCTATATAACTATATATGTATCATTGACCCTGTTAATGACAACATGAGGACAGGGTTGCCATATCTAAACTGTCATTACCCACTGGTAGCCATTTGGACAGGTCGTTGGAATGCCTAATTGCGCCAAGATGTATGTGACCATTTACACATACTTTGATGCGAAGTCATGGAAAGGGAAGCAAAAGCGATACTAGCGCTAGCTGCGGATAATTCGTACATTTTAGGGCAATATTTTGTAATTTTGGCATATCAAATACACATATACATTTTACTTTTTTTCAAAAAAGTAGGCAAAAACAATACAATAAGCAACCGGAGTTGCTGTGTTGAAAATTGTACAAATACTAGCAAAAAAAAACAGTGAAACTTAAATAAAAAATTTCAGTAGCAATGTGGAAATTAAATCAAAGAAATAAATGGATAGGTGTACAATAAGAAGAAAAATTACCTTTATTTTTGTAATAATAACAGTAATGCTGGAAATAGTAGACATCAGAAACTTGAAAAGTTTTAAATAAACAATAAATTATCATTTTACGATGTTCTTTAATATCCCTTTATTCTTAAATGTTCATTCAGCAAGGACTAGATTTTAAGATTTCTGCCTTTGATTATTATATGTGGCTGGAATACAATTTTGTGACTTACTGATGGGAAACCAGTTTTAATCATTCATTCTATGTTTTCTTTCGAACAAAAATGAAAATATAAATAACGATCCTTTTTTATACAATTTAACTTCACGCTATTATTAAATGGTATTTTTTGATTTTGACAGAATAGGCTAATTCTTCAATGAACACTTATTGGACTTAGGCAACTTCTCATACATTTTCCAGTAAATACTGTTGCCTGCCTATATTTTATTATTGATTTTTATTGATTATACATATTTTTTTTTTAATTTAAGCGATAAAAATATATAATGATAATAAATTAATGTTTTACTTGTTTTACAAATCCATATATTTTTATTAAAACTAATATATATACTTTTTAATTACGAATTTCATTAAAAATTGTATTTGTCAGTGTACGCAGAAATAGTCCATTAGTATCAAAACGAATTGGCGCTGCTGTCGCGCACGGGGCGAATACGGAGAATGGTCGCACTGCGCAGCTTTCTGAGTGCCTTTTAAAAGGAGATAGAAAATTCCGCCATTTTGATGCCTTATTACGTGTTGCCTACATCTTGGCGCAATATTTTTAATATTTTGCTTGGTGCTGTCAGTGTCAGTGAATATTATTTTTGGAGTCACAGTTTATTGCTAAAGAATCAGTTAGCTCACTCGGACCAGTTGAATGTTCCAAAATAACATCCACTCCAGGGATACAAATTCAGGATGCGCAGAAGACTGCCGTTTTATTATAGGCGGTTGTCATATATTGTATTATCCGAGTTGCGCAGTGTATAAACTGGAACATTGAGATCAAAAGTGCCGACGCAGAGTGAGCGAACTGATTCTTTAGCTATAAACTGTGGTAAAGGCATCAAAATGGCCGCGCCCTATGTTGGGTGTGTCGGACCTCTCTCTTGCACCGTATAGTAATCAAAGTATGTGACCATTTAATAAACTGGTGCCTCCGGCAGTTTCTAGAATATGCATTCTCAAAAATCGTTGTCTATGCGCTGACATCATTGTTCTACTGCGGTCTATGAATGATTCACTACGACTAGCTTGATCAAGCATAGGCGTATCATCAGAGAATGGTTTCGTAGGTTTACCCTCTTTATCGAATACTATTGGTAATCACAAAGGCCATAAGAGGCCTAAATAATACGTTCACGCATAGAAGTAGAATGCGTTTGTATATAAGAAATATATAACTCTGAAAATGTGACGCATATTATTGCAGACAGACGCTAAAATCGGTGAAAGGTTTTCATTCATTTAGGTATTACAAAAAAAATTTGCAAACATGAAATAATAAAAAAGTTACCTTAATTTTTCGAGTCCAAGAAAATCACTATTCGAAATGGACCCTATTGGGTTATCGGATATATTCAAGGTCTGCAAATTATGCAAAAGTCTCCAAATCTGCGAGAAATTCGTCATATCCTGGATATTATTATTGGACAAATCCAATTCCTCTAGCAAAGTTACCCTTTCGAAATTGTCCACGTTCAAAATGGAAATGTTGTTTTGTGAAAGATTTAAATGTTTCAAAAATGGCGTCTCTAAACGTGGCACAGTAGTGATACCCGTACCGGCCAAATTTATTTCCCTTACCGTCTTCGGTTCACTAAGAATATTACTAATGGCGTTACCGGATAACGGGTTAAAAGATAGATCTAATTTTTTGATGTTAACCATTATGCTATCATCCGCAGGTATCTCTCTAAGCTTATTGTGCGATAAATCTACAGAATTGACAAAGAAGTACTGTCTCTGCAGCGACTTAAGTGGAGCTATTTCAAAAAGATTCTTGGCTAAGTTAATGTTTTCCAACATTTGCAATCTAACTCTTTCAAAAATGGTTTCTGGCAAGTCCGATAATAAATTTCCTTCCAAATTTAGTAATTCCAGCCGCACCAAACCCTCAAATGTTCGTTCTCCCAATCTATCTAACTTATTATAGCTAATATCTATGACTTGTAGCTGTGTGGAATTATGGAATGCCATGTCACTGATAGATTCTAGCTGATTATGAGTAAGTACCAAAGATCTTAATCGCGGTAACCTCGCGAAATCTAGCTCTTCTATAGTTTTTAGTTGGTTATTAGATAGATTTATGAATTCCAAAAATTGTAGATTAGCTATGAGTTCAGCTGGGAAGAAATTGAACTTATTATTACAAGCTGTGATTTCCCTTAACCTAGGATGTATTCTAAACGACGATGGGAAGAGATAGCTCAATTGATTATCAGAGATATCCAAAATTTCTAAGCTTGTACCAGTGTTAAAGAACTCTCCTTTGAATGAAGTAAGCTGGTTTCCTTTTAGCACAAGCTTTCTTATGTTCATTACATTGATAAAAGCGCTTGGTTTAATATTGGAAATGTTGTTAAAAGATAGATCAACTATGGTAATATTGGACATGTTACTAAATACTCCTTCTGCTATTTCCAAAATACTGTTATGGGTTAGATAAATTTCTCTGATTGACTTTGATTTTATCAGAAATTCTGGCGGTAAAGACCTGACTCCTGCGTAGCTCAAATCTAATACTTCTATTTGAGGAAGCTTATGAAGAAGGGAAACAGGAATGTTATTCAAATGTCTATTCCTGCTAATATTTAGATATTGCAAAGAAGGAAGAAGAGTTAAGAAATTTCTCGATATGTCCGTGAGATGATTGTCGCTTAAGTTGAGCCTTTGTAACTTTAATAAAGTCAAAGGCGTGCCAGCTAAATTTGTAATCCTATTTTGGGAAAGATCCAAGCTTATTAAAGTATTTTCTAGTCCAGAAAAGGCATCAGAATTAAGTGAACTCAACAGATTCCTGGATAGATCCAATATTTGTAACTGATTGAAGTTCTGGAATGAAGCTGACGGCAATTCTCTCACTATATTTTTGGATATAACGAGTTTGGTGACTTTATCGGCTACAGATCTTAATATATCACCGGATAAAGCTGCTACTCTGTTGTAGTCTAGTTGAAGAGATGTTAATTTCGGTAGACGTCCTAAAGCTGAAGCTGGGATTAGAAGAATATTGTTATCTTTGAGATTGAGAAATTCTAGGTTGTCTAAGCCTTCAAAAGCATCATCTTCAATCTAAAAAAAATAGTCGATTAGTATTAAAATTCATCTTCATTATAAGTTGCAATTACCGTTCTTAAAGAATTGACTCCAATATCTAATCTTCTTAGTTGTTTAAGACCTAAAAATGCTCCAGGTACTATATTAGCTAAGTTGTTTCTGCTCAAGTCTAAATGGTAAAGGCCTCTCAAGTTTGCTAAGTGGCTGTTATCCAAATTCTAAAAAATAAATCAAATAATTCGATGTGTAAGTGCTGTTGGAGTTTTATTATTACCTGGATCAAGTTTGAAGACAAATTCAGATATCTTAAATTGCTGAAAGCCTTCAGAGCTAAGCTAGGAAAGTCAACTATGAAGTTTTGAGATAAATCAAGCAGTAATAAATTGTCAGCTCCTTGGAATACATCGCTATTGAACCTGGACAGCCTGTTGTGCGCTAATTTTAATGATTTTAACTTTTCTAATGGTGAGAAGGCGTTGCTTTCTATAAGTGATATTAAATTTTTGCTTAAATCAATAAATTCGAGGTATTTCTGGGATTTGAAAGCTTCTGTTTTGAGAGTATCTAAAATCAAAAAATATGTAGGTAATTAAGATAAATTATGGAGCATTTTCAATAATAAGGAATTACCGATTCTGTTGTCGATTAATGATAGAAACCTTAATTTTTGCGGACCATTTAGAGACGTGCTGGGTACTATATTAAAACTATTTTTACCAAGGTAGAGTTCCTAAAAAATATAATAAACTTTTTGTTGAACATTCCATCATGTATCCAAATACTTATTACCTGTAAATTATCGCATCCTTCCAAAATGCCCTCTTCTATAGATTTTATATTGTTTCCGCTCAAATCGAGTAATTGAAGATGGATTAAACCTCGAAATTCCGTTGTGGAAAAAATCGGATTCAAAGTATCTCCCAGAAGATTATCGGCCAGCCTTAGTTCTACTAGAGTGGTCTTCAAACCTTGAAGCATCCTTTCTGTTAGCCTTCGCAATGAGTTTCCAGACAGGTCTACACTTCTTAGAGGAAGATCCGTAGACGAAAATACCTAAAAATAGCCGCGTTAATATTCTTTACAGCTGCATTTTGTTGATTGAATTAGTGGCCAGTAGGTACAGGACCAAAAAATATTATTTGGAGGGGGAGTTTCCAAAGAATCTACATTTACCTGCGTCGGTAACGACTGATGACCAGCCCATCTCTGACTAAATGATACTATTGGAGCCCCATAAGGCAATGAAGGTACTTCGCTGGAGAATACAATTCTATCACAGTTGACTGAGATCGATGGGTTTCCGTCTAAGGCTTGTTCTATAGGTCCTAACATGCAGGAACAAGGAAATCTTAGTTCTCTGGATATCTCTATACACGGCCTCGGCTCTTCTGAAGATGAAGCTGTGATTAGAAGGAGAAGAAACGTTGAAAACGAATGCAGGATCATCTGTAATAGAAAGATTTTATTTAAAATTAATAAATAATTACAGTACTGAAGAACCAACACAATAAAATACAAATTGATAAAGAAGTACTAGTTTATAAATTTTGGAAAAATTAAATTAAAAATATTTTTTTTATTTTATGATCCGTCACACACATTTATTTATTATTTTGCCTTTTTGGCAAAAAGTAAGTTCTATCTCCGTCCAGGCAACACTTTACTCATCTAATAATATAGTTTTTTTTATGAAAAACAATTATATATTGTAAATGAAATATCGTGCGAAGTAACGAAGGACATTTCTTTTGGAAGATTGTGTAAAAAAATCCCGAAATTGTCAGATAAACTGTTTTCGAGATATGACAGGACGTCATTAGAATAATACGAATAAAAATATTTATGAGATTTAAAAATAAATATTCCTTATAACTTTTAAGCTATTGCATAGCTTTTATCGCGGACTTTGAGCGCGAAAAAAAAAACCGAAACCGTAACGAAAACAAACCTAACACCCCCCCATTCCGACCGGCACAGCGGTGCAGCGTTAAACAAATACTAACTTCTCATTTATTCAATAAAAGAAAATCTAAAAATCGAAAAATCGAAAAATCGAAAAATCGAAAAATCGAAAAATCGAAAAATCGAAAAATCGAAAAATCGAAAAATCGAAAAATCGAAAAATCGAAAAATCGAAAAATCGAAAAATCGAAAAATCGAAAAATCGAAAAATCGAAAAATCGAAAAATCGAAAAATCGAAAAATTGAAAAATCGAAAAATCGAAAAATCTAAAAATCGAAAAATCGAAAAATCGAAAAATTGAAAAATCGAAAAATCGAAAAATCGAAAAATCGAAAAATCGAAAAATCGATAAAAAATGCTATGCAATAGCTTTATCGCGGCAGTCCCCGAGTGTCACACGTATTATTTTTTTGTTTTGTAACTATACCTAATCACTCATTTGCCATAGGTCAAAAAAGTATTTCTTATCAAGGGCCGTAAGTAAAACTTTCTTGATATTGTCAGACGTCAACATAGCGAGTCTACCAGCATATAGTATTCGACATCCTACCCAAATAGCAAGGTGCCGTCATTATGACGTGATTTTTTGGGTTTACTCGTTAAAAACGTCACTATCCCAATTAATGACGTTACTTTGACGTCGTTTTTGGAACGTTAATTAGACGTCAATACAGACTCGTCATTATGACGTAATTTTTTAGTATTAATTTATCCGAAATACAATATCCTAATCAGTAACGTGTATTTAACGTCGCATTGATGACATAGAATAGACGTCACTTAGAATTCGTCATAATTACGTTATTTTTTCGTATATTTCTGGCAATGTCATATTGTCAATTGTCATTGTTGTTTCCTGTTTCCTCCATCTTCATGATTCTCGTGAGTGACAGTCGTGAGCGTGGTGCATTTTTAAATTGTACTTTATTTGATAAGATGTTTTAGAAAAAGGTAAAAAATAGAATGTGACAAAATAATAAAGTATATTAAACCGAATTTGGTATTTTACAGATGTATTGCATTGTTGAGTTTGAAAAACCGGATGATGATGGTCTGGTGGTTGTGAGGTGAACAGAAAATGGCTGACGCTGCGTAAAAAACAAGTCTTTTGGCCGCCTTTATAAAGAAATATACTATAATATAAGACTGGTCAGTAATGTTATACTTTTATGTTTTCATTATGAGTTCTTTAAGGGTATTTTTTATTAGTTTATTTAAAAAAAAAAAGATTTGTAGGGGGTCACTTGATTTAGATACCTTTTAGGTCGGTTTGGGTCCTTCAAAAATACATTCAGAACTATCAGAGGACTAGTTGAACAGTGGACAGTTTAATAGTTGTATGCGACAAATAATTTGGAATTAAAATGTTCCACTGGTTCTCGGATAATTTGCATTGAGTTTTAAAGAAACCCGAACAAACCTTTTATCATCTCACAGAATATATGATATTTTTTTATTATATTTATTATTTATTATAAATTCAGACTATGTATACCTCTGAGAAGGTATTTTTTATAACTAGATACACAATTTACTTTCTATCTTTAAGAATTTTCAGTGGTCTGTATTTTAATAGTTCTTTTATTTTAGATGATAATGATAAGTGATGTTCCAAATTAAAAAAAGTCGAAGTTACCTCAGATCTACATTCCAAGGCTGATAAAGTACCTACTAAAAGAAAACAGGTGCCAAGTAGAAAGCTGCATTCGATGATACTGAAGATGATTAATTCGTAAAGCATGCTCGCCCACCCCCAATTAAAATCAAATCTACAATTTTAGGTATGTTGTGTCAGTTCCTCTAATATTATTTTTTTTTGTCATTTTATTCCTTTTGGTTTCAAGCTCATGACTTTTTTATTTACTAGGGTAATTTATTTTTTATAATATATTTTTCATGTGTTTTTGGATTAAATAAATAACTTTCATCTGCTTAGTATTTTTAATAATTCCATCCAACCTTGGGACCCCCAATATAGACGTCATTTTGACGTTAGGTAGGTTCATGATAATAACGTCAATTTGCCTAGCTCAGGACACCCGACTTTTGAAAATATTATTAAAACGGCCTTTGCAAATATAATTCTTAATTAAGAGCTTTTGATCTAACATTAAATTTTTATTCTCCATAAGGTTACAGCTTCCTAAGAAGAAAGTTTAACAAGACTTACAAGACCCAAAATATCAAAATTTTACCAACCAATTGATGGTTCTACTGGTTTCCAAAGGAAAATTCTCCTCGAAACTGCAGAGGCAACCGAAGAAGGCAGAAAAGTCTTTTGCAAAACAAAAACTAGAAATTTGTTTAAGAATCTAATTATTGTTTGAAGTTTTACCATTAATATTTTTTGATAACGATTTAAGATTATGAAGTTCTATTATGTATTTTACTCTTTGATAACCTATGTTTAAATTTTTATTAGGGTCAAAATAAATTATAATTTTCATTTCAACTACAAAAACCCTCATAATATTAAAAAGAGGAAAAACGTTAGATTAGTTATGTTCAGGAATAAACTCTTTAAACATTTATTTACTTAAAATGTGTTACTTTTAGAAGGTATGTTATTAACTTTCTACTTGTACTTGTATTAATTTATTTTAATTTTATTATCTGTTGTATTTTCACGTTTTTTTCATTGAAACAAACGTTTATTAGCTTATTAAATATAATGAATTCATGTTGTTTTATTATATGCTTGTATGAACGATTACTTTTATTTCCTTTTAAAAATGAATTTCGAAGATAAAGCCGAAATGGTGAGTGAGAATAAAAAAATTAGACGAAAGTGACGATATTTACTGGAGCTTTCATCTACACGCTCCTTTTTCTAGCCATCTACACCTGAGCCAGCATGATTCGTCTTCCCTCCATCCTTACATTCTCCAGATTTACAGAGAAAACGCCGTCCTCTTTAACATATCCAGACCTTCTTTGACAGGGACTATACCACTACATTATCAGCTTTATTTGTTATCCCGAGCAATTTAAATGCATTCGTAATTGCTCATTCTCACCTCTTCTTTTGTAGATTCCGTACTCAGTTTTCTTATTTTTAGTTACATTTGCACTGCTCTTTTATTTTCACAGCTTTAGTTCTATAATGCTGTAACGCTACAATATGAATCCATTTTTGTGGTTTATACTATTTAATGTTATTCGTAAGTGACCAACCTATTATAATAATTAAAGATTATTGTATTACAGGCCTAAAGATGTTCCTGTAAGGCCGAAACTAGTCGCTCCTGTATTTATTTATAATAAAATTGATTTTAAGGTTTTATTCTTCAGTTGAAATAATTAGACCTTTACAGTGATTTTGTTTCATTTCCTGCATTAGACACATATAAAATGGTATTCATTTTAAAAATAGTAAAATTAGCAAATTTTAGTTTTTTTTACAAATAAAACGTTTGGACAATGTGTGTTTTTATAGATAAATGATACGCCACTGAACAAGAAGGATGTTTACCTTCACCCTTGTCCCCGCTTCCTCACTTCCTCTACAGATGTTGCTAACACAACAATCGCCTGCAAACTCGTTCCTATCCATCTCTCTCGTACACGTAGACAAAGAAAAGTTTGAATTTAAAGGCAGTTACAATTTCTGACGTAATCAAGTCATGCCGTTAAAAACTAATATTTCAAGCGCCTGAAAACCACAGGAAGGAGAAGAAACATAAATAACGGTACCCAGCTAGCACATAACGTTGCCAAGCCTTTCGGCGATGTTGCATTAAGGGAACGTAATAACATTACTGTACAACGTAAATGCAACGTTCATGAGAAGTTGTTGAGGGAAATCAAAACCTCGCAAAACTTCTATTTGTTATTTACCTAGTTAACCTACCGTAAACATTACAAATCTGAATTCAGAACGTTTAGTTTTATGTCAATTGTCACTTGTCAGTTTTTCTTGTCAATTGTCTTTTTTAATGGTTTATTTTTCGACATCCAGAATTTATTTTATAAATAATTATTATTTATACATTCGAATAGATTTGGTAAGGGTCCTCTATAAAATAGATAACTATTTTCTAAACCATTGTCTTTGTTTCAGATTACAATGCCTGATGTAAATTTATTATTTCATTCATTAAGTATCTTTAGCAGTCGATGCTGATGACACCAAATAAAAAAAAACTACAATAAAAACAAAAAATTGCAGATCAATCGTTGTAAACCAGAAGATAAACATTTAACCGAATGTCCGGCAACATTTTACACCAAATACTTATAAAAGGTAATTATACTTTATCGAACTAAAAATATATTTTAAAAATATTATTTTTTAGGTTTCCTTCGACATTCTAGGAATTTTAGAAGCAAAAGTAAATACTACAGAAGTGTAAAGAAGACTATAACTCCTGAAGTTTTATAAAAAGTGAATCTATAGGTACATGATATGTCAGGTATATCAGAACTCAAGCAGTTCATTCTCTTCAACAAGCTAGATTGCCTGGAAATGCAACCATATCAGTTC